CCAATCAGTCAACGGAAAGCCCTATAAGTCATAAACAATTACACATTTGTTTTAATGTAAATAATTGATTAATATTTTCCCATTTGTATGGTTTAACCCCAACAGGCAATCCAGTGCTCGTGTTTCATACCGTTCTGGTCGGGTATAGTTCCCCCGAAATTCCACGGCATTGCATACATGGACGGGGGCTTCAGCGACAACCTGCCCATCATCGACAAGAACACCATAACTGTGTCGCCATTCAGTGGCGAGTCGGACATCTGCCCACAAGACGACACCTATAATCTATTTCAAGTGAATTTAGTGAACACATCCATTATGCTGTCCGTCGGCAATCTCTATCGATTGACACGAATCCTATTCCCCGCCCACCCGGAGGTGTTGAGCAAAATGTGTCAGCAAGGCTTCGACGACGCCCTCAGGTTTCTCCAGAGAAATAGTGAGTGATTTTTGTTGCCTTATAATTAGGTGTTTGTCTTCATTGTTGTATTGTCTGACCCCTGAAGACAAGATCGCGTGCACCCGATGTCTGGCCATTCAGTCGTCCTTCACGTTGGGTGAGGACGACGACATGGAAGCGGATAATGACTACGAGAACAATGACTCCGATTCCGGTTACGAGAATAATACGTGTGGTGATGGGGAACACCACTCGGCCATCAATTGTACCAATTGTTCGGACTGTCAGTACAGGCGACAGATCGCGGTCCTCGACTCGCTTCCCGACGCCGTAGTTCAAGGTTTGTCCGCTTTTCTCATTGTTTGGCTTTAAAGTCCTTTATTAATCAATTATCGGGAAACCTCTCGTTCGCACCCCTTTCCCATTAATTTTTTCATAAAGTTATCTAAATATTGATTAAACTGTCAATTTTGTATAAATAAACAATTTTTATAGTAATTTACAAAAAAGTGTTGCAATAATCACCACATTTTTGTACTTAATTTTGTACTGATTTTTGTGTCTATATTTTGCAGCCATTCAGGAGGCGTGCGATCAGGTGAACAAAGGTGTGATAAACTGGCTGTTCCGGCACCGGCCCATGAAATTGCTGTCATTCCTAACCATTCCATACCTGTTGCCGATCGACATCACGATCGTACTGTTCTGTAAGGTGTGGCAACAGGTGCCGGCCATCAAACAGGAGCTCAAGGGCTCGCTTTACAACTTACTGTCGTTCCTGCGCTCAATTGTGGTCAAAATGGAGAGCAAACGGCACCTGTATTCCGCCAAATTCAGCTGCCAATTGGCTGTCACCGAGTTTGACTACAGCCACGAGGACTGTCCCCAAGTGTACGCCCAGAATGCCAGTCCCGTACAGCGCAAAGTGTCGACAATCAAACTCCCGAAACGCAAACTCACGAACTCGTCATCCATTCCCATAAACCCGACGCCGACGGCCCGAAAACTGGTGGAAAAGGCGCACAGTTTCTCGCCGGGAAGCGTCGCTATGCGGAAGCGCAGTCTGTACGCCAGCGACGGCGCCGGCATATCGGCTACCAGTGCTCAGGAGTTGTTAGCTATGAAAGCGCGGCAACGGTTGGATCGTTTGCAACAACAGTCGGGTGGCGCCGGTCATCAGCGCAAGTCATACGCCGGCACTTATGAGCAGAGATTGGGCGGCAGTGCGGCCGATGAGTGGCCGATTGACAGGCGCCGGTCGATGATAGAGATGGCGGCGCCCAGAGTTAAACCACCCGAACGAGTCATTTCTAAAATGAATTTTGGATTCAGTTTCGATCTGAAGAATAAGTCCAACGAAGAGATCGATTTCGAGCTCCGGGCGGCTGAGGCGGGCCTCGCGTCCAGCGCTCCCGATTTGGATCAAAACGGCGGCGCCAATGGGAGCGGAGGAACGGGTGATAAAGTGTTGGACGCCCTCAAGAGGCTCGAAGACATTGATCAGACGAACGCCATTGAGATCGCCAACAAAGCGCTCGACTGGGAGAGGGAGTGCCTACAGAAATACCGGGAGTTCGGCGAGTGCGAGGGTACCGGCGCTGGCGATGGCAGTGATATCAACAAAATGATTGAAGTGACCCAAACCCAGGAGGCGCTGATGGCCTTCTACTACACCGACGAGAATAATCGGGTGAAAGTGACCGAAATATTTAACATAAGTCCAGACGATGACGGAAGTGGTGACACCACCGGCGCCACAGCCAGACATTCGGCCGCCGATGACGACGAGGACGGCCTCCGAGAGGATCCGCTGCTGAGACACCAACAGTCGAGGTCTTCGCTGTCCTCGCAGTCGACCGTACCGTCCGCTCAAAGACGGCGTAAGAAATCTGTTATTCTTATCGACTAAAAGCCAAATATTTGTTTCAATTGTGTGTTTCACT